GAAAATATCAAACATTGAGAATGCATTGGAAAAACTCTATCACCAAAAATGGAGCATTGAACCAACAAGAAAGCCATTTCTACCAAAACCAATCATTCTAAAGAGAAACCAAACATATCCTGAAAAAAAAAAAATTTGAATAAAAAAACCCCAAACAAAAGAACCCACAATAGACAATCATATATAACCATACATAACATGCCTATACATGAATCAAACTCGTGTTCCAATCAATCTGAATCAAACTCATGTTCCAATCAATTAGAATCATGTTAGACCAACAAATAATTATTAATGCAACCAAAATCAACCAACAATTTGATATTAAAAAAAAAATAAAACTAAAAATTAATAACTCTAAAAACCCCTAAAAATTTAAAACTTAAAGCCCAATGATACCTATATATATAGAATAAAATATACTCAATTTATACATGATTCAAGTTCATGATTCTCAGAAGGTGTGTACCCTTCAACTTCCAAATTGCTCTTTGTTCTGCATTGTGTATCGGTGTACTGTTTGCTAGTTTTGACACATTTAGATATCATAAAAATCTGTTGTTTGCTATTCTGGAAAAGATTTTCCTTTCTAGGTTTTTCTTTTAATTTAATAGGTATTCTATTTAAGAATTTTTCTAACAATTTTATTTTCTTCCTAAAAAAATGAGACTAAACTTCATTCTCATTAATCACGAAAATTCTAAGTGGTTAAATGACTAAAATAAATTTTTGAATGAGGTAATTAATATAACTAGCTCTATTAAGAAGGAGTAACTTACCATAAACGACGATTTTTTTGGGGTGATATAAACTGAGCAATCATTGCTGTCAGATTAGTAAGCTTAGTCTCTAAGGAGTTAATTGTCTGTTGTTGTTGTTGGGCATTGCGCTCCTGTTCCACCTTGTATTGCTATATCTCACGAATCTTCTCCTCTTGTTTTAGCATCTTTCTAGATTGATCCTCCATTTTTTGTTGCATTATTTGATTTTGTTCTTGTAGCTGCTCTTGAATGGCTTGATTCTGTTCTTACAACTGTGCCTCTAATTGGTTTGCTCTTTGTCTGGCCTCTGCAATTTCTATCTGATGGCGTTTTGAAACAGTGATGGGTGCCTGCCTATATCCAAGACCTTTAAAGTATCCTGACTTATGACCAAGTACTTGGGAAAAGGCTTCAGTTGGGGTCATTTGCACCAATCCTGATTCAGATGAATCATCAGATGCATGAGATTGTAGATTCTGGACCATCTTTGCCGGCAATGACAAGTTGTGAGGATAACATATTAATTATAGAAAATTATTTATGAACAACTATCCAAGATTTAGCACACACCAGTCTTCAAGAAGAGTCTAAAATATAACTTTTCACTGAGATTTTTGGTATACATAAGCTTAGTTTTCTACCAGCTTTCTACTGGAACCTTTCTTTTCTTAGATAGTGCATAGCTAATACTTTTATAAATCATGAGCTGCATAGTCTTGTTTTCATTTCTTTTTTATTTCATCATCATTCAGCTAACAACTTATTATAATTTTATCATACATATATTTATATATATATAAGAAAGATAAACTTCATTAATCTTATCAAATCATCAATGGACCATTCATTAAACTAGAAGATATACTTCCCTTACTCTTTCTTTTCCTCAATATATTTTTCTAAACAAAAAAAAAAAAACAAACAAAATTAAACCTCATTTTAAAAACAAAAATCTTAGACAACGCAGAGCTAATACTTTTAGTAATGAAAGAGCAAAAAGATTAGTCAACCAAAAATTTAATATTGTTCAAGCTCTTGTTTAACTTAAAAACTTACATATAACTCCTCACATTGTGGTGTCATCCATGTCCCTTTTTTCTCTCCTTTCTCTCGGCAGTGTGTCTTTTTGTAGAAAGTCACCAAATCAGGCTCCTCTTGTGTCTCCTCATTTATCTGATTCATTTTTAAATAGTTTTAAGATTATGTATACAAATTTCTCATTATAAATAATAAGAACATAGTGCGAGTATAAGTTAACAAACCATCTCATATCGAGACCTAATAAAAGGTTTCGAGCCAGAACAATGATTTGTGACATTCTTCTCCCTGTTTTTTTGTGTTTGTCCCACTCTTTTTCTATATACAAATTTTACAAATCATAAGTATGAAAAGGTCAGAGTATGAAAAACAAAAATTATAAGTAAATAAATAAAGGGGTACTTACCAAAAATTCATCATTAATAAACATATCACAGACAACCTGCCAATCCTCGTCTTCAACTCCCTCGTAAGGATGACGACGTGCCTTTGAGACATTACCCTTGAAAGACTTAAAATACACATGCATGTCATACTTCCATGCTCTAAACCTATCACCAAAGAATGCGTATATACCCTTTCGAAATTCTGTGAGGTCTGTCCCCTCTATCCGTACATTAAACTTATCCTAAAAGAATGTTGATATCATATACATCAAATATTAGTTTTCAAGTAATAGGATAATAAATCTAAATAAAAAATTAAATAATTAAATAAAATGATCAATTCTCACTTACCATTAATGCTTGATATAGCACATCCTTAGTAGCGTCATCCACATGTGACCAAGTCCCGCAAGTGATAGGTGCGCGTGTACGACATATTAAACCAACTTCAGTTCCAAAGTTCTTCGCCCAACCACCCACTGGCCTATGTTACCCCTTACAAAAAATTACAATAGGTTTAGGACCTTTCTTTGCTAAAAAAGTAGCCAGTGCGACTCCTGTTGTTTTACCATGCTTGGTTTTTGACGTGGAAGTAGCTATAATAATGACAATGATAAAAAAGATTGATAGTAAGATGTACTAATAAACATCACATGTTGCATGGATAAAATAACATGAAAATATATATATATATATATATTAGAACAAAGTATTCAAAAAAAAAAAAAAAAAAAATTTACCTGAACCAGATGTGTCAGTTGCAGCATCGGATGTAGGTGAAGGTGTGGTAGTGGGAATATGAGTTGAGGTAGAACTAGGAGAAGGGATATCGGTGCTTGTGGGCATTGGAGAAGTATTGGGAGTGGGACTAAGAGGAATGGGGACATTAGTGCTTGTGGGAGTGGGTGTGGGAACAAGACTTGGAGTAGGACTAAGATTGGGGGCATTAAAGCTCGTGGGAGTAGGTGTTGGAACAAGACTCGGAGTTAGAATACTAGTGGGGACATCACTGCCTGTAGTCATGGACATGGATGCATCAACACAAGAGGATGAGTTAATTGCCGAAAGCTTGCGTTTCTTAAGCCGTCCAGGTCCAGCCATGATGCACAATTTAATCTGAAACAAATTGACATACCAAAAAGAGCTACTCCATTAAATTATTAATAGGGTTTGGGAAAATTAGTTACTAGAAAAGAAAGAAATACATAAAGGATATCATGCATCAAGGAAACTAAAAGTCATTGAAGAGGACCTTAATTACTTAATTCCCTTGTGGATAGCATAAACAAATAAATAAATAAATAAATAAATATATATATATATATATTAATTGCTCAGCATGTGTTCAAAGTATGCAGTGTTGTGGGTAGAGTATAGGCAGACCTAACTTCTACTATTAGTTTGCTTGTGCTTGTATTTTTTTTTTTTGTTCCAGGAACGTACTCTCCTAGTCCTATTAGTGGGTTGAGCCCCTTAGGCCCAGCCAAAGACAAAAATAATCTACTTGTCAAAAGCACGGAAGATGCAGAAGGTGGTGATGCAAAAATGATGATGTAGCTGTGGGGTTGTCTGGTTTTGAGAATATCTTGCGAGATATGATTCCTGGTGTGAAGGTCAAGGTTTTGAAAGTGACAGCACCAAGGACGGTAGATCGGGATATAATATCTAAAGTGATTGAGCAAATAATGGAGGAAGAAGATGAAGAAAAGGATTTTGCTTGTGCTTGTTCTTCACAATGTAGTAACAAATATATATATATATATATATATATATATATATATATATTATACATTGAAAACACATAAGGTATTGAAAAATATAATGTTTCAATGAAAAGATAATTATAAATGTAACATGAGTATAAATAACAAATAAATATATAGGTTAACTTCAGTTACACCCCCTGAGGTATGTCCAAACTTCAAGGAGACCCCCTACGTTTGCAAAATTTCAGTCAGACCCCCTATCAAACATAGTCAGCTGACAAAGCCAAATAAATGAGTGGCATGACTAATTTGCCCTTTTTGTCCTTATCCCATATAAGCTTAACCAAACACCAAACACCAAACTCCCACCAAACGTTACCCTATCTCTTAAACCAAATAGTGAAATTGTTCTTTTCCCTAATTCTAATACTGTATGAAAGTGTACCCAGTTGCCTAAGGCCGGACTGAACTTACCGGCGGACCAAATGACGACGACACTATGATAATGTGAGCAAGGAATCTGGCAATTGGGCGAACGCCGCAAGCATGAGGGAGTGGTTTCTTTGAGCTCGCTTTTGGGTCTAGGTTGATGTAGCTCTATTCCGTTTTGGGTCGATGAAACTTGTTGAAAAAATTAGGTTTGGCTCGCCGGCAAGCTCGTCGTCGCCAAGCACCTCCATTTTAACAAAACACCGCTATCTATGCCCAATTCACCACTAGGAAGCTCAATTTTGAGACATTTGATCTCGTTAAATTCTTCAACACTCGGGTAGGCAAATGGTGGGTCACCCCACCCTGGTCAATATCGTCATCGAAGCCAACCGCGAACCCACGGCCAACAGCGAGGGAGGACGAACCGGAGTTCGACCTTTTTGGGCCCAGAATTGACTAAGGGCTTGGAGGGGTTTCACGATTCCATCGAATACAAGCCGAAAAGGTTGGAGAACGACCCGCGTTATTTATCTGATGACCCAGATGCAGAGGAAGCGTCGTCATTGGAGATGACGCAATCAACGCGGACCACCACGTTCTCCACCTAAGGTACCAAGCTGTGGAAGCGCTGCGAAACAACGCTGCATCAACCTAGGGCTTTGACGTCTCCGATCATGTTAAAGACCAGGAGGAGCAGAGAATCCGGCATACGATTCTCTTCGCGGAAGAACTAAGAGAGAAATCTTCTGGAACGAATTCACAATCATCGAATTAGTCTTCGCCGCCAACTCCTCCGTCGCCGAAATCTCATGCCTGGCAGTAGAGCCATCAACGCCTCCAGCGAGAGAAGTCGCGAATCGTGCTCGTGTCCACAGAGGATCTGATCTGATCTAATCCACCCATCTAAACCAGAGCCATTGAGAATCATTTATTCCCGGCACCGAAAGGGGTAGAGCATGGGGATTAGGCGCCGTCATCGGTGAAGAAGGTGGATGTACATATATATATATATATTTATTTATTTATTTATTTATTTATTTTGGAAACTGCCGTTTATATATATATAATATATAATATAACCCTGTTTGGTTACAAGCATAGTGTAATTCAAAATTATGTGTAATTTCATATGCATATAAAATGTGATAGGTACAATTTAGCCAAACATGATCATTGGAGGGTAATTTAGGCATTATCGTTTACCTTTTTTATGATGTCAGCAAAAAATATCTCTGATCAACTTTGACCGTTGACTGAGGGGGGAGATTGATGTGTGTCAGAAAAAGTAGGGGGTCTGACTGAAATTTTGCAAACGTGGGGGGGTTTCCTTGAAGTTTGGACATACCTCAGGGGGTGTAACTGAAGTTAACCCAAAATATTTTCTTGATACACACAACATGAAAGCACAATTTTTATAGATCTTTCAAGCAAATAAACATGATTAGATCTTTCAAAACAAATAGATGATCTCAACCCTAAACACAAAATTAAAACCTAAATTAGCAATGACAACAAATAGATGATTTGTAATAGGTGTCATTATTATTTTAATCAAATCACTTCCCTCGAAGCATCAAGAAATTACCTAAAAAGGTACAAAATATAGTAGCTCAAAGAGAAATATATAGTATATATACAAAATAAAGAGATAATCTCATTCTTGAAACCCTAAACACCAAATTAAAAGTAGAAATCCTTTAATTGTAAATCAAAATAGAAGAGTGATATCTCATTCTTGAAACCCTAAACACTAAATTAAAACTAGAAATCCTTTAATTGTAAATCAAATCTCTAATAGAAGAGTGACAACTCATTCTTGAAACCCTAAACACCAAATTAAAACTAGAAATCCTTTAATTGTAAATCAAATCTCTAATAGAAGAGTGAGAACTAAAATCAGGAATTCTTTAATTGTAAATATTAGAAGAGGGAGAACTCTTACCAGAGATCTTAAGTGATCTGATTATAGAGATTGATCTAATGCCTATGGCCAATGGAAGACGGATGGTTACGTTATTGAGAGCAGACGGGATGAGGGAAGTAATGAAAGATAATGATATTTAGGATTCTAATAGCTATTAAGTTCCTTTTCCCTAAATTTTACGAGCTAAACTTTGGCGCTGCAGGACATTAAAAAAAAATTTTGGCACTGTACTTAACCAAGAGAGATAACTTTTGGTGCTGTAGTGTTTAACCAAAAATAATTATAAAAAAAGTTAAATATAAAAATAATCTTATTACAAATATTTTTAGTACGTGTTTTTTTGATAACTTTTTATAAATTACTTTTTAAAAAAATTATAAATTATTTAAAAATTTAGAAATTTTTATAAGCAATTTAAATAAACAAACTATTTTGTAAAATATAATGATATGGACCGTAAGTATCATGCAAATTAAACTAATATTCATATATTTTTAGTAAATTCATTAATTTAAATAATAAATAATTATAATCTCTAATTACATACAATCTTATTTTTTTATATGTTGTTTCTCTATTAGTTTACATACTTCAGATCTTATGTGATGGCTAAATTTGATTAAAAATTAATATTTTTTAAAAAACAAATGTATAAAATAAATTCATTTTCAAAATTGTTTACAATATCAATTATTATATGTATATATACATACACTCACCATATGTTGGTATGTATGTTGCAAAATTAAACACAAAACGCAAAAAAGAGCTCAAACACACACACAAAAACTCAAAATTCTGTTTGATTGTAAATATTGTTAAAATTCTGTTTTGGAGATGAGAGTTTATATTTGATATTTTTATTGCTAATGCACTATTTATTAACTAGTGTCACAGGTGCTTTACTCTTAAAAAGGTAATAATCTTAAAAAGTTAATAAGAATTGCACAAATACACAATTAGTTTACTTTAAAATAGAGTAAAAAGACTATAAAATTTACTTATAGTGACATGATTTGTCTCAAATTAAGATCCACTAATACAAAATGATTAGTACATGTGTTTTCACCATTGTCACACAATCTTCACTAATCACTTCCCTTGTTTACAACAAATCACTGAGAACAACCCCCCTTATTTACAATATCTTTCTTACACCACAACAACCCAAACTAGCAAGATAAAATGTTTAAGAGGACAATATAATTTAGCTTACATACACAATGAATAGAGCTTTGTATAGGCTTTTGAAATCAAGTGACTGATGCTTGTGAGGAAATTAGGAAGTTGAAGAATGTTGAAATGGGATCTTGCTTTAGTGATGAGAATGAGACAATTGCACAAGGCTTTTGACCTAAAAATTCTTCTCTTAATGATGCATGCTAGTAGATCACTATCCTCTGATATCACTGCTATTATTTCACCTTTTTCTTCTTCAAGATTGGACAAATAGGCTAACTGTGCATCAGCTTCGTACAGAGTTATGACAAAAGTAAAGTTCTAGTTCTTAAAATCTGAAAAAACACCATTTGATAGAATCAAAAGATTAAATGTGAGATTATGAAATATAATTCAATGTGAGAAACAGTATAGAATTTGGCCAAGAAATGTAACAGGAGAACTACTCAATGGAAGGAATAATATGAAATTTGGGCAACAGATATCTAGAACTATGACCAAAATGCAAGATTTCATATAATATTAGATGGCAAGAGAATTATTTTTGTTAGAAGCTGGAAAAAGCTGGTAAAGATCAGCAATTGAGTACTTGAATAAGTTGATGCGCCATTGATGGAGTGATACTCACTGCCCTCTACATGCCAAAGAAAAAATAATAGTAAATTCTCTAATATAATATTCAAATATTTCTATCAACAAAAAAGGATAAACTTTAGCACAAATAAAAGCAAAAACAAAATGATAAATTATATATCTATATACATGCATCCATGGAAACACACAGAAATAGATATGAAGTTATATAAAAATTGCTTACCAAATAAACAGAGGTTGAAGAGAGACTTTGGCTAAGAAATCTGAGAGAGCGAACAGGGACGGTACAGAGGGCTTCTTTAGCTGAGGAGATAGAACCAAGACATTCGTTATAAACGAGATATAGGGTTCTATGGGTTTTTAAGTTAACTTTTGTTCTCCGTGTTTTCATTATGTGGTCTCTTAGTTTTCAAAAATTGCCAAAACAACAAAAAATTGTTATCTAAAAACTGATACTACGAGTTCTCAATTTTTAAAATTGTTCTGTGAAAATAGATCCTAGTAGAATAAAAAGACAGTTTTTAGATTTTGGTAACTCTCAAAATAGAAAACTGTTTTGAGAGTTCTAAATCAAGCAGGGCATTATTTTCCTTTTTAATGATAAAACTTTGTAACATAAGCAAATAAAGGCCATCGGGATGAAACAAAATATAGAGCCACGAAATCTTAAAAATTTAAGCTCCAATAATCTGGGCAAAAATGGGCCAGTATCCTAAAAAGATATTCTAAGATCGTAGACAAAAATGAAGCGGTAGAATCCTAAATAAAGAGTTCCAAAATCTGAACAAAAGTAATATATACTATCCAAAACAAAAGGAACTTAAATTCTTGTGGCACGGCCCATCACCAATCTACAAAACCAATTATGAATTAGTACAATTCGTCTATGCCAATTTAATCCTAAACCAAAACCAAAACCGAAAAACAGGGAAGAGAAAAAAAAATTCCAAACAACGCCATATATTGTTCAACAAATATATATAATGAGTTTCAAATAAAAACACCAAGTAAATGAATAGATTCAAAATCTTAGTGCATAGCTCTTGTTTACGTTTTAGACTTACATATAACTCCTCTGGTTACACATCAGCTTGCTCAACAAATAAATGAAGCTGTGCAAAGGAAGGAGCTTATAGTACTACAAGGCTGCATTTTTCATTGTCTAACATTTTTTTTGCAGATGATCTTATGGTTGCTTGTAAAGCTTTCATCCACAATGCAAAAATCTTGGCAACCATTTTTAAAAAATTTGAGGAAATTTCTAGTCTTCACATGAATCCTTAGAAGTGTAAAGTCTTGTTTTCAAGAGTTGTTAGAAGAAAGCAAGGTATATTGAGATTGATGCAGTGTTCAGAGGAGGTATTTCCTATCAATTACTTAGGTCTTCCTCTTTGCCCATCTTGTTTGAAAAGGTCTAACTGTAAAGAGCTGGTTGATAAGGTTATTAAAAAAATTTCTCACTGGAATACAAAGCTTCTGTCCCTTGCTGGTAAGTTGGAGTTAATTAAGACAGTAATGAATCCTATTTTTCTTTACTGTGTAGTATCTTTTGTCCCTGTGGCTATAACAAATCAAATACAAAAGTTCAGTAGTTCTCACATTTCAGAATGCTACTCTACAAGATGTTATCACTAAATTTTTTGGTGTTGTTAGGGCTGTTTTGGAAATGGGCTTTTTCTGAAGTATTGTTGGGTGATATATTTGTCTGTTGTTGTTCTTGGCTGTTGGTAACATGGGTTTTTGCTGTTGAAAGCTTTGGGATATGTTCTCTATTTTTGTTTTGCTGTTGAAAGCTTTAGGATATTTTCTCTATTTTTGTTTTGCTATCCAACTTTCTTGTTTTTCTTATTTTTCTATTTTGCTGTGGTAGTGGAGCTTGTCCATTGGTCCATAGTTCTTTTTAATTCTAAGATTCTAGGAGTGGATGTCTGTATCTCTCCTAGGTCTTTTTCATTCCGAGGGAATGCCCTCTGTGCACTTTTATATATATTTTTCTTTTTCTTTTTTATACAAATACAATTATGAAAAAAATATATATTAACTCCTCACATTGTGGTGTCATCCATATGTCCCTGTGTTATCTTCTTACTGTGACTATTTCTAGAAACATACATTTAATTAGTTATTAAGAGTGTGCAGCACATGAAAATAAAGGAGAAAAAATGCTATTAATTAATCAAGAGTAGATAAAGAAAGGGGAAAGAAAAACAGATTAACTTACCATGAGCAATGATTGTTTCGTGGTGATATAAACTAAGCAAGCAGCGCTATCAAATCCAAGAACATCATTTAATCAATTTCACCATCAGTATCATTATCAGTGCACAAAATCTCTTCCTCTTCCTCTTTATCTTCATCTTCATCTTCCCAATCATCACAATAATCAATTAACGTATCATCTTCACTTGTATCGTCATCATCAATAACAAATTCATCATCTAATTGATCAACTTCAGCATTGTGTGTTGGATCAACAATTGGGTCAACATATTCTGGTTCAACATCTTCCATGTGCAATGGATTCACATCTTGCTCATTGTAATAGACAACTAAATCAACATCTTCCTCATCTTCAGTTTCATATGTATTGTCCTCATCTATATCTTCATCTTCATGTTGTAAGGACAACTCTGGAACATCATACCAGTTCCTGGGTATTACTTTTTGTACCACATGCCAATCACCACTCAACTTGGGGTCCTTCATGTAAAACACTTGATGGGCTTGGCATGCTAATACATAAGGGTCATTCTTGTACCACTTACGAGAAAAATTAACATACTTAGTGTTAGTATCTGAATGTATTCCTATTCTCTTGTCATCAACATCCCACCAATCACACTTAAAAATGTATACTTTATTTCTTTCTATATAATTCAATTCTACAATATCTATCAGAACACCGTAGAAGTCAATTTCTTTATTCTCATGTTCTCCTTTTACTACCACCCCACTATTCTACGTCTTACGGTGCTTCTCATGCTCAGAGGTATGAAACCTAATACCATTAATGATACATCCCATGTATCATACCACACGCTGGTCAGGACCATTTGCTAATATATACAATTGCTCTGTAGCTTCAGGAGCTTTTTGTTGGTATAATTGTTTCATCTATAAATAAAATTGACAACAAAATTTATTAAATTCAGTTAACTATATGAACTCCATTCATATAATATGTATTCACCATAAATATGAAAACTTACACAATTCTTAAACCATCGAGGAAATTCTTGTTCATGCCTCTGCTCCACATTTGTGGTGTATTTTCCTTGGATATGTTTTTTGTGTTCACTACATCGGGAAAAAAATAATAGAAATATTAATAAAAATTTAATCCAAGTATACTATATATCATGAGCCTATATAATTTACTTACTCTAAATAAGGCATTACATCGTCACAATTGTTCAGCACATACATTTGAGCCTTATACAGGTCCTTTAATGGCATCATTTTAAGGGTTGCCGCTCTGATGAGTGCTGAAAAGTGCGTAATTAAACCCCTTAAGCTTAGGCATTCTAGTACCTTTATCTATCTTACTTTACCGTTTTAGATTGATTTCGTATTATTTCCTTTTTCAGGCACTTATCCCGAAAATAAGCTAACTCAGCCAAATAAGAGCTTAATTGAAGCAATTCTGGGATTAAACAAAGAAATGAGCAAATTGGAGAAAGAAGGAAGCAAATGAAGCCAAAGGTGGCAAGCAGCAAAGTTCGATCGATCCAAGTTCAAGGTTCGATCGATCCAAGTTCAAGGTTTGATCGATCGAACAATGATCAATCTCAGCACTTTAAGATAGATCCAAGCCTTGACCCAAAAGCATAAAGTTCCAAAAGTTCGATCGATCCAACACCATCCTTCGATCGATCGAACACTTTTGTCCTTATTCAAATGATTGATCCTATCCATAGTTGTACCACCCACTAACCACTTTTGTCCTTTTCTTATAAATATCTCCCATAAATATCTCGGATTTGTCTTTTTCCAAAAAGCTCAGCCAGTTGGATCGATCCAGCCTAAGTTCGATCGATCTCACTTACTTTCGATCGATCCAAGACCAAGGTTCGGTCGATCGAACTTCCTCCAGTGCGAAAAAGTTAAAATTCCATTTCATTGAAAGTTGTCCTTTATCCAATCATTAGGGAATATTGTGTGCACGACCCAAGCTCATTTTGGGTGTCATTTTGACCTACCTATATAAGGATAAGGATTGCTTTTTACAAGGGGGCCAACATTATTTTCATATCATCTCTTCGAGAGCAAGCTTAGAGGAGGAGGAGGCTAGAGACACCATAGGAGTTCTTCATCAATAAGGAGCAGATTTCAACCATGGAATTAGCCCTTGAGGGTTGGAGCATCATCACCATGAGTGGCTAGACATCCTCTTGGGGCTAGAGTTAGCCCCAAGCAAGCTTTCTATATCTTAATCTTGTGTATTATTGAGGGATTAGTATTGTAATTTATGTTTTGACACTTTGATATATATAGATCTTGTTTATTCAATGATTTGTGTAGTTTAATGCTTCCAATTGGTTATTTCATTCTATCCATATGTCTATGTATGCTAGAATAGATGTTCATGTGCTTGTCTCTAGATTTTGTGTTATTAATGCATGTCTATGTGTATTGATGCTATAGATTTGGAGATTGTCAAAACATAGTGTTTAAAGGAATGCTCTTGTGATTCTCTTGATGGTTTATGCTTATCTCTTGATGGATTGTGCCTCTCCCCTAGTTTATTTTCATAATAGTAGTGTAGATGTAGTGTAGTTGTAGTGTAATGTTAAATGGGAGAACAATCTATGCTTGTTATTTGATGATCCAAGTTTTTGAATGCAAGTAGCATATATCTCTATCCTTATGTTGTATTTGAATTTTGAGCTTAATGAAAGGATTAATGACTTGTTTTGATTTATTGTGCCTTTCACATGTTGTTTAGACAATATATGCTTCATTGCTTAGATATATTATGCCTTTCACATGATGTTTAGACAATATATGCTTAACTAGCCATCCTTGCTTGTTGAATCAACCAAACACACACACACCAATATTGTAACACACCATTTGCCCTCATTAATCACTCGTCAATGATATAGAAATGCATTGCTTGGTGGTGATCTCTAAACCCCAAGATCTCTCTCTCTCTCTCTCTTACTTACTCTTAATTGCACTATTTTGCTATTACTTAGTTTAATTTAGTTGCTCTTTAATCAACCAACCAACCAATTGTTTGATCACTCGACCTATTAGCCCTAATTGTGATTCCATGACATTGCTCGATCCTCATAATCCCGTGGGACGATCCCTTCTCACTCATACTACATAGTATAGGTGTTAAGCGGTTTATAAATTTAAATATGATGCCCACTTGACACTATTCTCCAAACTCAAAGTGTTGTGCATTATTATGTGCACACGTTCGGGTAAGCATCACGCTCCAAGCGTGCGTACATTTTGCGTGAAAACATGTAACCCTGTAGGCTTACTCCGTTGACTACCATCACAATTGCGTTCCTCCCGATTGAATTTTGTTTCCACCCCTTTGAAATACATTGAGCAGAATATTAGACATTCTTTGTCAATATTTGCCTCGGTAATTGACCCTTCTGGTCTTGCCTTATTTCGAACAGTTGTCTTTAGAGTATATAAAAATCTGTTGCCATAAGTTATACAAAAGTATAAGGTCACCACAAATATAGACACAAAGAGTAACACAATTACAGGTATTGTTATAAAATTATATGTAAATTATATATTACCTTTCTATGGGAAACATCAATTGAAACGCCACTGGTCCGGTAAGTATCGCCTCTCGAGGTAGGTGGACAACCAAGTGAACCAAGACTTCAAAAAATGCCGGAGGGAATATCCGCTCAAGCTTACATAGTATAATAACAATGTCTTGTTCCATTTTCTCCAACTCAGATACTCGCAATGTCCTTGAACACAATTTGCTAAAAAAATAACTCAACTCAGATAATGCTTCGCTAACATCTTTCCGAAGAAATCCTCGTACAGCCACTAGGAGCAGCCGTTGTAGAAAAACGTGGCAATCATGGCTTTTCATTCCTGATATTTTACAATCTCCTACATTGACACATCGAGATATGTTTGAAGCGTATCCATCTGGGAACTTCACAGTTTTAAACCATTGGTAAAAGGACTTTTTGTCAGCTATACGTAGTTGGTAGCATGCATTATGAATTTATCACAGTGCGGAATCAAATGTAATTCTTTCTTGATACCCATTTTCTTTAGATCCATCCGAGTTTTGACAGTGTCCTTTGTTTTCCCTTTTATATCCAACAATGTGCCAATGATATTATCGCAAACATTCTTCTCAATGTGCATCACATCTAAATTATGTCCCAATTTCAGTGTATGCCAGTATGGTAGTTCAAAGAAAATGCTTTTCTTTGTCCAATTAGGCTCATTTGGGGATCGTTTTCGCTTTTTATTATTTGGTCCCTTTCCAAATATCACATCATTAACACTCAACAACTGTTCCAACAAGTCATCACCTAACAATTCACGAGGTTTTGACCGAAGTTCTTATTTGCCATCAAATGATTTCCTATTTCTTCGCCAACTATGATTCTGCAATAGAAATCGACGATGACCTGGATAACAAATCTTCCTACCATGCTTCAACATGTACGAACTTGTATCTTTATTGCGGGGTGGGCATGCCATATAGCCTTTAGTGCTCCAACCAGACAACATTGAATACACCGGGAAGTCATTTATTGTCCATAACACCACTACATGTAATTGAAAAACCTTTTTTTTTTAAGCATCAAATGTATCAACACCTTCATTCCACAACTGCTTTAGTTCGTCAATTAAAGGTTGCAAGAAGACATCTATATCCTTTCCAGGAGACCTCGGCCCAGGAATAAGCATCGACATTATAAAAGCGACATCTTCCAAACACTTCCATTATGGCAAATTGTAAATTTTTAAAATTACAGGCCAGGTGCTATGGGCATTAGACATGTCTCCAAATGGATTAAATCCATCGGTGGCCAATGCGAGACGAACATTTCGAGGATCTCTGGCAAACCAATCATGATGCTTGTCAAAATCTTTCCAGGCTTCAGAATCTGCTGGATGCCTTAACACTCCTTCTTCATCTTGGTGCTTTTCTTTGTGTCACCTCATATGTGTAGCCGTCTTCCTGGACATGTATAGTCTCTGCAATCTTGGTTTTAAAGGAAAGTACCGCAACACCTTATGAGGAATCCTCTTCTTACTCCCACGTTTCACATTGTTGTATCTATGCTCCCCACAAATAGGATATTGTTCACACTTTTCATTATCCTTCCAAAATAGTACACAATCATTTATACAAGCATGTATGGATACGTATCCAAGTCCTAAGTCTCGCATTAATTTTCTTGCTTCATAATGAGAGCTTGGCAAAGTCGCACTACTTGGAAGCAAATCCTTACAAAAATCAAGCAACATATCCACTGATTTGTTTGTCCAACCGTTAATTACCTTCAGATGAAGCAGCCTAATTAGGAAAGACAGCTTCGAAAATTTCTAACAACCGGGATAAAGTTCAGTTTGCATATTCCCCATTAATCTTGCAAATTTATTTAATTCCACATCAACATCATGAGAATCATAATTTTCATATGCTTCAGCTCCTAAATCGTATGCAAAATTATCGGGAAATGCTTCCCCTCCAAAAT